TTTTTTTTTTTTTTTTTTCGATCAGCCAAAGAAAAAATTAATTTAATGAAGCACAAGGGGTGCTCCTTAATTGGAGACCAGAACAGAGGAGAGCCACTCTCCTAATAACCAAACAAAGACAGCTTAACAACCACCACCTAAACAAAAAAAGCGTCAGGTGTCCAAAACAAAACATTTAAAGAGAGATCTGCTCTGCCTATCCATCAAATAGAAGACGCTACCGCTATATAGAACTGCTTCCTCATCCTTTTATGTTTTTTGATAGACATAGCGCACTCCATTGGACAGGATTGCCATTCATAAAAGGAAAAAACACAGCCATTGACTTTGGATTTAATCCATAAAAAGGTTTTAACTTGCATCCTTTCCAGCAGGTTTCCTGGTATTCCTTCATCTTTTCGAAATACTTGAACATTCCTTCTATACCATAAATACCAAGCGCCCACTAGAAAAATACATGAGCCCATCTCCTTCCCAACTATTCTGCCCAAACCTCCAATGAAAAATTCTGCCAATCCCACAACTGTATTAGGCAGAACAGACTCTAAGCCCCACCAACTCAACACCTGAGTCCAAGCTAACCACGCATTATCACATACACAAAATAAATGATTAACTTCCTCCACCTTCCCATTACAATATTCACAAAAAACCCCCTCCTGCAACAATATCCCTCATTTTTGCAAGTTATTCTTTGTTGAGAGTCTATCTAAACACAGTCGCCACCCAAAAAAAGCCACTTTGGATGGCACCAACCTACACCCTATTAGTTTGCACATCTGGTCCTCCAAAACCCTCTCCGTAGAAGCTAAAAAATCATACGCTAGCTTCACCACATATTTGCCATCCATCACATGGACCCACTTCCAAACATCCCCAGCCCCCTCCTTTAGTTTGACACCCTCCAGCACCTTCTCCAACAATTCCTCCTCATCTTTCTCTAGCCCTATTGTACCCCTCCTCCACTCTACCCGCCAACGCCATCTACCCTCCTCCCAAGTCCCCATTTCAGAAACCTTACCCTCCTTCTTTACAGATAATGCAAATAACCTTGGAAAAAGATCCCTAAGACTTTTATCTCCAACCCACCTATTAGACCAAAACTCCACTCTATTTCCTTCTCCCACCTCCCACTTGAAACCCTCAACTAACATGTTCCTAAGTTTAAGAGATAGACCTCCTATCCTTATAATGTCCCTCCAAAGCTTTGACACCCTTAAACACTCAATTGTAGTAATATCGACCTCCTCCCTACCTCCATAATATTTCTCCCTCACCACTCTTTTCCATAAACTCTCGACCCCGTCACCTAACCTATACCACCACTTTCCTATCATTGCCCAATTTTTCCTCTGTAAATCTGGCACCCCAAGACCCCCTTTGGCTTTATCACGACATACATCTTCCCATTTAACCCATGAAATTTTCTTATTTGACCCTGTCCCGCCCCATAAAAAATTTCTTTGAATTCTAATCAACTCCTCAAGCACAGAATTTAGTAATACATATAAAGACATATAAAAAATGGGTAGTGCAGAGAGTACCGATTTTAGCAAGATGAGGCGGCCTCCAAAGGAAAGAGTAGCGGCCTTCCAGACAGCGAGTTTGGCACGGAATTTATTTACAACCAGCTCCCATAATTTCTTGCTCCCAAATTTGCCATCAACAGGCAATCCCAGATAAAGAAAAGGTGCTCTACCAACCCTACAATGTAACATCCTCGCTGCACCTTTAAGCCATTTTTCCGACACATTGTAACCGAAAACGTTGCTCTTGCTAAAGTTAATCCTCAATCCCGACATAAGCTCAAACCATATTAGGATGTCCTTCACCATACGTATATTCTCCGCATCCGCTCTGCCCATTATAATTGTATCATCCGCGAACTGGAGCAACGACACTGACAAACCTTTCTTTCCAATCTCAATCCCGTGCAACATTTCCTCCTTTACTGCTCTCTGTACCAGACCTTGTAGCCCCTCTGCAATCATAAAAAAGAGAAAAGGATATCCAAATTTTTTAATATGATTCTTATCATATTAAATTTTGAGTTTGAAGTTAAAAATCATCTATACAATGAACAAAGACTATATCTTGAAAATCACTAATAAAAAAGTA